TCCCTCCCCCAGTTATACATTCTGTTAAGAGAGGAAACTTCACCAGGTATTTCCTATTCATCTTAGTTAGTGGGCGAAATAGACCACCAAGTCCCAGGTAATTGGCAATAACCAAAAAAGCAAGAATGATATGGATTCCATTAAAGTAATAGCCCAGTTTGTGCCGACTGAATCACTGTTTCAGAGAGATCTTTACTTATCTAAACAGAGAAACATGACACATGCAAGCAAAAAAACAGTAAAAGTAGGAACAACTTCTGGCTTCCTCATTGACTTTCCTTGTAGGAAGCAGGCAGGGAAAGTCATCGCAGGAGCTACAAATTTGTTAAATTTCAATCCCATAGGATTCATGGTACCAGATTTTGGATGCATTCTATAAAAAAAAAAGCAGAACCTTTTTGAGTGTTTTTTCCATCTTAGCATTTGGACTGAGAGAAATATCTAGATGCCTCTTCTTCAGCTTTTCCATAATCTCTCACCTAGTCTTAGGATGGGATACACTGGCCCTAGGTCATATAGGATGATGATGGCGACAATAACTTTAATTGCACTCCAGAGCCAAATAGTAATAAGCAATATGGTTTTTGTAGGAGCGATGTTGCATGGCAACACATGGGCAGTTAAATTTTGCACCAGTTTAAATTTCTGTGTGGTTTGCAAGGGCAGGCCCATGTAATACAAATTGCAGTGTTCCAGGCGACAAAGACATCATCTTCCGCTCAGGCTTTGCTAGTGAAAAATGATTTGGTCACACATTTCACCTACTTTTCCAATAGGAGCCATGGGTCCCAGAGAAGCCCCAGACCTTCTCTTTCAGGGGAATTACAACCCCATTAAAATTATCTACCTACCAGAATTGTATCTTGTAAAACATTCTTGTAAATTTTGAATCTGAAGACATAAAAACAGGATGTGCATGCTAGTTGCTGTTCACAACTTCAAACTTAAACAGATACACCCCACATACATATACAACTCCTGTATTAGAAAAATCACTACTTTTTTAAAAAATGAATTGGTTTGTTATTCAGTTGAATGTACTAAAAATTATTGGGAATAAATTGAATATTTGGTTTTAATTCCTTCATCAAAATACACTAGAACATGTTTTCTGGCAACAGTCATACCTTGCTCAGCAGTCAGTTGGACTATAATACTCTATTTAGGGCTGTTATTGGGAGCAACTAGAGTTGCAGCTGCTACAAAATCTGATAGCCAGATCTCCTGAGGGTAACCCTCCCAGGCTAGAAAAAAACTTACTTTGAAATCTCTTTTAAAATAACATTGATTACATTGGTTGCCAGTGGGCTTCTGGACTCAAGTTAGAGTCTGAGTCATTACGTTTAAAGTCCTTTGGGATACAATGCTACATATAACAAAGTAATGCTATGCCAAGTCAAATCTACCCATGCAATCTGACCATGAAAAGAGTCCATATAGTAATTTGTAAAGTACAGGAGGCATGAAATAGTCAATAGTTTTTTTCCAATGGTGACCCCTATTCTGTTGAATACCTGTTGAATTCTGCCTGGCCCTCATGCTATTTCACAAACTAGTCATAGCAGTACTATTTCAGCAGTTGTTTAGCCTTTAAGGTAGTTTATATTACTCAGTGCCTATGAGGGTTTTTTATGGTGTTGTTTCCTGGGATTCTGAAAAATTGTACGCTGTATCTTTTTTGCTTTCCCTTTTTTCTCTATTCCACCCCATGTCACCAATAATGTTATTATGTGCTGCCATCTAATATGAATATTGGACGAGAATTATCATCTGTCTACCATGTACAACCTGTTTGGGTTACTGCTCCTATTTATCTGGGAGGCAGAGGACAAGTTGATCAGATGACAAGTTTTCATAATGGTGACAACACCCAACAGAATTTTCTGTCGATGTATCAGAGTAAGAGATCAGTGAGCATTAAATGTTGCAGCAAATTAAAATTAAAAAAATGTAAAAGGAACAGGCAGATTTATATTTGTGGTGAATTTCATGCCAGAGCAAATGGGACCAGAAGCTGGATAAGAAGTTGGTCTCTTTTCCTTTCTGGAAATCTAAGAAAAATGGTTGACGTTCTGTAATGAGTAGGAAGAGCAACCCAGCTAAGAATACTCTCACTGTTAGAAAATCTATGTCTTATTCATATCATTGATGTCTATGAATTAACTGTAAATGTTTTGGGGTTTAGATATAATTAAAGAACAAAATAAGGAATTAAGAGGTACGCAGAGGGCTATAGGAAGAGATCGAGCAGCTTTGGAGAGACAAGAAAAGCAACTGGTAAGTGTATCACATAATTGTTCATTGTTCATAGTAAGAGACCAATTTATAAAATGATATTTTCTACTTTCCTAAAGTTTTCAAATACAATTACTGGTTAGGTGTCTGTGGCTATTTATTATCATAATTATATTGATAATGGATAAAATAGAAATACAAACAAATTTTAAAATCAGCTTTGTTTTCAATAAATAGGAATTAGAAATAAAGAAAATGGCTAAAACAGGAAACAAGGAAGCTTGTAAGGTTCTAGCAAAACAGCTTGTGCAATTGAGAAAACAGAAAACTCGAACCTATGCTGTTAGCTCAAAAGTTACATCCATGTCAACTCAGACAAAACTGATGAATTCTCAGATGAAGATGGCAGGAGCAATGTCAACAACAGCAAAGGTAGGCAATTGATCCTAACTAACCCAAGTCCTGCGAGTCAGGTATTTAGGAAAAACCTCTGTCTGAAAATTTAGTGTAGTGTTTTTTAATCTTTTTCATCTCACAGCACCCATGTTATAGTCAGGACTTTAGATTGGTGAGCAGAGGTCCAGTGAAATCACAGGTTGTTGAGACCCAGAAGGAAAAATGGAAGCAGTTTACCCAAGTGATGTAATGGAAGTGGGATTCTGACTGTGCAGCTGCGCAACAACCCAGCACTTCCTGACATTTATTTTGGCTTGCTGATGCATCATGGCAGCTGACCTTTTATGGCATACAAATGTGCTGTGACATACCAGTTGAAAACTGTTGATCTTGAGCATTTTGGTTGATTAGAACTAAGTGGTACAAAAAACAATTGCCTAATAAGTTTAAGGCATTTTTTTCAGCTGGCAACTAATTAAAAAAATCTAAAACTTTTCTGACTTTTTGCTATTCCGTTATTTTTTAAGACCTGTACATTAAAAATATTTATGTAAAAGCTTCACTCGTGCCACAGTATCTCTTAATGCATAGTAGTTTACTGTGGGCTGTCATTACATATCCTTAAACTTGCCATTTTTCAGATCCTGAACAAACAATGGTTACTCTTATACATACTTGAAACAAGCCAACCATCAGCCATTGTTTGAAGCTGGATCATTTCAGAAACCATAATTAAAATTAAATGCAATGTTTACAATCAAAGTGAAATTCTCTACCCCAGAAAGAATACACAAAGGAGATGGTTGATGAATCCAGTATTTGATCAGGTAATATTATGCTGTAGCATTGATTAGAATACCCTGACTACTGTGTCCAGCACTTTAAAAATAACAAACTTGATCAGGCCAATAAAGATGTTCAGTGTCTGAAAACAAAATCATGTTTAAAAAAAGAAAAGGAAGGATATATATGCCATGAAAATGGTAATTGTATGACAATATGCTAAGATTCTCATATGCCTGAAGTGATGTCACAAGGAAAAAGGCCATGACCTGTTCTCAGACATCCTAGTAGGATATGGAATGATAGTCCTCAATTCAGGGCAGCAGATTCCAGATGGATGCGCAGAAAACCTCCTGTCAATAAGGGCAGTAAAACCAATTCCTCAAGGAGAAAGCAAGTTCTCCTTTGCTGAGTAAGAGGCTTAAATGGACATTTGTCAGGTATATTTTAATCTGAATTTGGACTTTGTATTCTAAGTAGTCTATTCCAAATTTGTGAATCTGTAATTCTAATTTATTGTTAGACCAAGCCAGATCAAAATTAGAAATAGGTATTATTAAAATCTGGTTTGCAGATAGCTTCCTTTTAACAACTCTTTATGATGCTGAATCTTGGATTACAAACAAGACAAGACTTTTTTTAAACATATAAAATTGTAATGGTGGGGTGATCTTTATATGATATTAGACCACAAGCTGTTTTAATATGAAATGGCCTTCTCTCTGTACTGGTAGACAATGTTGGCTGTCAATAAAAAAATGGATCCACAGAAGACACTGCAAACTATGCAGAATTTCCAGAAAGAAAACATGAAAATGGAAATGACCGAAGAAATGAGTAAGCTGTTTTTTTCATATTAGACTAAACCTTTTTCTTAGTTCCACTAAGAAAAATCTATAATTGATTTCATAGATTTTAAACTGGTTTTGATTGAAGTTATTAAACTCATAACCATCCATGGTTTGGGAGAAAATGATAACATTCTGGAAAAGATTTATGTAGCACATTGAAATGAAAACCTTCACTTGCCCATTCAGGAGGGTGAAATGGGAATAATTGAAACATTTAGTATATTCCTAACATTAGCTTTAAACATTCTGTGACATAAAAGTGAAAAGGTATGCTGAAGTTGTCTAGTTACAATGCTCAGTCTTGGCTTTGACTTCTCTTTCAAGTCAACGATACCCTAGATGATATCTTCAATGATTCTGATGAAGAACAAGAAAGCCAGGATATTGTTAACCAAGTTCTTGATGAAATTGGAATTGAAATATCTGGAAAGGTATGAAGAAATCCCCTCCCCCTGCCCATTTTAATTTACTTTGTAATAGCAGGCTTTATGAATGTATGCTTGCAGTTAATAAATGTTATCTTGGTTACATAAATTAAACTTTTCATATTTTTTTTATTAGATGGCAAAGGCTCCTTCAGCTGCGATAGGCATGCCGTCTGCATCTACATCAAAAAATGCTACAATTTCAGATGAAGAGATTGAGCGGCAGCTTAAAGCCTTAGGAGTAGATTAGCTTTATGCTAATATGAAGCCTGACTTCTACAGCAGCTCCAACATTGGCATATGCACAAACCTCCAGTACAGGTTTCAATAAAAAACCAGATTTCATTGCAAATCTCGCCTAAGCCATTATTGGTAATGGTCATTTCTAAAGACAGCTGGACGAACTAAACTTGAGAGAAAGAGAACAGAAAAATATATGTGATGAAGAATTTGTATATCTTTTATTAAATTGGGATATTTTGTTAACAGGCCATTTATTACATATGATTTCAATTTTGATTTCTTCAGTTTAGTTTTTGGACAACAATTATTTAACTTGATAACTATTCCACTCATCTTTAGATTTCTACATTTTGTAAATTATTACAAGCAGCCTTTCTGAAAACATTTCTGCTCTGTTTCAATTGTAAACACTTCTTAAGAAATAACATTACTTAAAATGAAGCCTTGTTTTTTTCTGAATGGGAAGAGACAGTTGCTATCTTCAGCAGAATGATTACAAAAATTTCAGTAAAAATTTAGGGAGTCTTTTGATAAATACTTTTTAACAATTTAGTTCAGTTTAATGTTAAAATGATACATGTGTTTCCATTATAAATTCTGGAGTGGTATTGGTATCCAATTAGTGAAACTTCTGGAGACAGGGCTCTGGTCTAAAATAATTTTCTGTTAGCAAAAAATATTGGAAAGGAAAATATTGAATAATTTCCATTGTACTGTAATATAGCTGACTTGAAGAGGAGTCTGTGCCTTTGTGTATATAATGCTTGGTTTCTTTTAATTAAGTTTTGAATTGTGAAAAAAGTAATGTAAGCCATTAACTTAAGTTAACACTGAAATTATGTGAACTCCATGATTGGTGTGGAGTATGTAACACCTGAAAAAGATAATCTTTTTCCTGCAATAGCATTTGTACATAAATAACATGCAACATTTTTCATTAAACAAATGTTACTTTGCAAAATATGCTTTATTGTCCAATATAATATGCTCTATATCCATTTTTACACTTGAATGTTGCTCACTGGCTTAACTGAAGTTAATGAATTTGAATTTAAATTGAGCCTAACATGGTTAAGTAACACATGCTATATGTGTTATAGCAGAGGTCCTCAATCTTTTGGGCACCAGGGACAGGTTAAGGGGAGAGAGGTTTTTCTGCAGACCGGAGGGTGCTACCTGCATCCTGCAGATGGGGCTTTGCTTGTTTGTGCGGCCTGGTTGCTGGCATGCCGTGGCCCGGTACTGGTCCACAGACCGGGGGTTGGGGACCCCTGTGTTACAGGACAAATAATTCACTTGAACTGTGTAGCAATAGATGAGCAGGTTGTAAGAGTATTTTGTATTTTTTTCAAACTGCATTGTAGACTTGACACTAATCTTACAGGTGCAAAGGATGAGTCAATGAATAACATAACAAAATAATTGTTGAGGCTATATTATTTGGCCAAGAATTATATGAAAATAGAATGTTAACAGCAATGAGAATGTAGCATTCAATTTTAAAAGGAAGCAATTATTTAATTATGCATTGTGTCAAAGCGTCACATCACTTAAGTATCATGAAATTGGATTTTATAACTACAACAATGTTTAGTACAGTATATCCCAATGTGATAAGGTTGTGTGAGCTTTCATGGTGTAAAAATGAAATAAAAGTCTTTAACTATTGCCAATTAAATCTGATAGATTTAATTTGTATTACTGCATAATGATCTAAAATCTATCAATTAGTTACTTTGGCTGCAATTTACATACTAGTACCTAAAAGTAAGCTCCATTTAATTTAATGGAACTTCGGTACAGGCATGAGCAGAATTATGTTATACAACATGTGAAAACTAGATGTGACCTTTTTTTAAAAAAAAATATTTATATTCTGTTAATCTTCTCATCTGTACTTTCCTATATTCAGATCCTTAATATTAGTTAAATTAATAATACATGAATTTTTGAAAAAAATGCAATTTTTTAAAATCTGTGGGTTTTTTTTTTTTTTTTTTGGCTTTGAAAACATCTGTAACAATTTGAATAGAATAAACTTAATTACTAGGAGAAATAATGCATCTGGTGAAAAAAATCTTAAAAATACTACCTCAGCTGAAATATTGAAAATTATGTTTAAAAATTAATTATTCTATAACTGCAGATTGCTGAAAGGGAACAGCTAAAAGAAGAAGTAGACAGGAAAAATGTACCCAATATGAGGCAGAATTTAACTTGGCAACTTTTCAATTTCAGTTTGTTTGTTTTCTCATCTCTCAATTCCTGCTTTAGGAATTTCTGCAATTTTTTTATCCCTCCTTCAAAATCTCACTCTCATAAGAGAGCGAAATACTTAATGTTGAAACATACTACACTAATTTATCTTACTATAAAATGGTGCTAATAAAATATTGGATTAAACAACTACAGTATATAGATACCATCATCACATTCCCACTTTTTTGTTTGTTTACTTGATTTGGGGTTGGGATCAGGGGTGATGTGGTTTTGTGATAGCCATTTGGTGAATGGCATAGAGACTCCCAGGTTAACCATTTGCTAACAACTGGATGTCCAAATTCCAAATGAGACCTGGCATAATGCTTCCTATTTAATCATCAATGTGCCATTTTCAAAAAAATTGGGCTTAATTAAATATAAAAACATATTATTTAATTTATTGGTATATTTAATTGATATTTTTAACAAATATTAAAGATGTTTATCTTTTCAGCACCAAAAATTACTTCTTGCAAAAACTAAAAATGCAGGCAATAAATTAACCAAGCAGTCTTCATAAGAGGGGGAAAAATGCCTGTTTTTGAGCTTTCCAAATATCTTGTCTTTCTGCACTAATATGATGGGACTTCCAGAGCAATAGATCCTTCACCAATGATTTTGAACAATGCCCTAGAAGTTGCACAAGCCCTGATAATTCAAAGTTGATATGACTTTTAAATAGCTAGACTTCTTTTTCCAGCTGGTAGAGAATCCTGAAGAGAAAGGAGTTTCTTAATGAATAGCCGGGAGGTGTGAAGTGTTCCTGAAGTGTCAATCATTTTTGAAGCATACAGTTTTAATGCCTTCTATTAAGTAAAGGTACTTACGGAAATACATGAAGTTAAACTTTCATTATTAAATACATTAATAAAGGTAGTATACTACTTTCTTTGTTGGTATGGCGGGACAAGAAGTTTTTCAAATAGTTAAAACTAAGAAATCCATTTGTCTGTGGAAAGAATTCTACTAGCACTCTTGATGGTCCTTAATAATGGAATTAAAGGTGTTCTGGTGTAAACTTGTCTTCACTCTCTTTTCTCTTTGTCTCCGATTGCAGAACCAAACTCTCACCACTTCCTTTTCCAGATTCAGCCCCTCTGCCATCCTCATGATCTCCTGAGATGAAGGCTTGCTTTGTTCTGTAAAATGGCTTTCCAAGGCTTCTTTCGCGGCAATACTGAAAAGAAAAATACCACATTGCAATCATACTCCTGTCTTCATGCTGTCTTCATGCTGCATGAAAACAGTAGGCAGCTTATCATATCTATTCAGTATCTCAAGTGTTGAAAAGGGCATGAAATCATGTAAATGTTATATGTCTAGGTACACAACAGATAGACTATAAAACAAGACTTCTGGGGGAGAACCCTTCCACGTTCATCCCAATCAGTGCCTAAAGTAGCTTAAAAAGAAATTAGCAAGGAAGAGCCACACCATCTACAAAAGAAAAGGACATGACTAGCCTCAAAATGATACTGAAAAATGAGAACACTTCAGTAAAATCTCCCTTTTGATTTATGACACCCTCTTAAATATGCACTTGGTAACATCAAAAGTACTGTGGTTGCTGCATCACACTTAAGTTGGATCAGAATTCAATAATTATAAAAACCAGCATTCTGTATACTAGAAATAACATGGACATGGCGTACATGTCTAGTTGGGTAAGCCAGGTGAACATACATTGTGTGCATTATCTCCTATTCACTGAAAACAATTGGAAGAAATCTAATATCCTGTGTTGCCGTTGGTCCCCTTACCAATTATACTCATTAGAGTGGCATTAGATTTAAAATTGTAATTCGGTAGAGTTGCAAGCAGCTTTCCCATAAAGAACTAAAATTCTAGTACATAAGTTTGAATAGAAGATTAATTGGATATGATTTGGATAATGTTGTACTTATATTACTACTGCCCAATTGCTAATGGCAATTGTAAGCATTATTGGACATAGTTGAGAGCTTTAGTACTAAAAGGGCCTGCTGCTGCCTTGCTCTTGGCTGCTGCTTAACTTTGTCAGTGCTTGTTTAGCAGGCTTCAGTGACAACAGAAATCTTCACATGCCATATGTTCCCCCTTATGCATAAAGAAAGAAAAAGTAACAAATTACAGAAACCAAAAAGAAGACCTTTCTGGGGAGACTAAGGAGCCAAGGCTTATGGTTATTTCAGTATTTTAAATGGTGTATATTTAGATCATCATTCTTTGCTGCTGTTCCTTCCCTCTGATTTTGCTTTCATATCATTATTGACACATTTTCTGAATTATCTTCCGTTTATCCAAGGAATAGTAAGGACAAATAAGATTGAGGAAAATGTCTCTGTCTTTTTCTTAAATCCAATGAGCAAATACTTCTGCTTCCTAGTGTGTCAATTTGGTTCACAAGGATCCTTTTCAGCTTTAATTATAGTTGTCTTGATATTGCTTATAAATGCTATAAAAGATTCTACACAGTAATACATTTTTAGTTTTAACTATTTTAAAATGCAATATAGGTTTAATTAATAGTTCTGATCACAAGAGGGCAGCACTGTACTTCAGTTTTGATATCAAAGCAGTATTCTGTTAAATATTAGTGATAATGATGTTGAACTTTGGAGTGATAGGATAAACTGCGCCCATTTTGTGCAGTTTATAATCTGATAAAATTATATACTCCATTCAGATATTGGAAAAATTAATATGGATATAATACAGTATAAGCAACATTTGTGGCTTTTATTCTGATTGTTGAAAAGATTTAGTTGTTTAGAGTCCCCTGATTAAAATATGTCTTTCAATGTATCCTTCAGAGAACACTTGATATAATCTCAGTAAGGTACAAAATAAACAAAACACTTTTTTAAGAACATGAACAAGTATTTAAGTACAGTTGTTTAGAAACTCAAAATTTGAAAAATATGGTAAGTAGAGAAGTTTGGACACACTCATCAGTATTTTATAACATTTTTTGTAATTATGAACAAAATAAATATTTTTTAAACCATCCGTAACCATCTAAATCAGACATGTCAAACTCGTGACGTCACATGACGTCGCGAGACGTATCGGGACTATTTTGCTATTGGCGGCAATGCGGTGGGCACGGCTCCGGTATGATGAAATCTGCCTGTGGGCCGGCAGTTTGACACTAAGTCTTTCCATTCTTTCTTTGCTATTTTTCCCACCCTGCCTTGCAGAAATTTTGTAGATCAGAAATATTCTCAGGTACCCTCAGCATATTTGAGATCTCCTAACATATTTTTAATAATATTCAGAGTTAGGAAATAGTTACAAACTTTCTGCCTACCTGCTTGCTTGCCTGCCTGCCTGCTGAGCGCTTCATAGTTGAATTGGAAGTACATTTTGGATTGTTGTATTGCTGCAAAATCCAACCTCTTTTTAACTTCAATTGTTCATAGTTTTCACACCTCATAGAAGTGTCAGCCTCTGTTCATTTAGAACAGGCATGTCAAACCTCTGGCCTGCGGACCAGATGTGTCATACCAAAACCGCGCTCACCCCATTGTCGGCAATGGGGAAAAGGTCCCGATACATCGCATAACGTCACGTGACATCACAGGTTTGGCATGCCTGATTGAAACCTACAGTTTATTCAGACATGCTAAAACAGTTGTATACAAGTTATAAATCATTATGAGAAGTTACAGTAGAAAAGTCTAATAGACAGAATCCCTATCACTCATGAGGACCATACATGTGAAAAAGGTGCATTACTTATTACCTAATGGTGGTTCTGCGTTTTCTTTTCCGTTCATTCATGCCAACTTTTTCATTGTATAGAGCTATACAGTGGGAAAAAATAATTAAAAAAGAATAATTTCTGGTAGTTAATGACAATGTTGCCAAACATCTGATGTCACGTACTGTATTTAATATTTGTGTTTTGGTTTGTATTTGGTATTTTATAAAATGTATGTTGTATGTGATAGTGAGAGAGAAGTACAATAAAGTTTGTTAAAATTCAAGCTAAACTACAGTATTTTCTTATGACAGACATACATTAGTTGGCAGGCTGCTATGCTCTTGTACAATAAAAGCTAAATTGCTTAGAATTATTTTGTGCGTTATGACTGTAAGAGGAGAACTCATGTAAATACATCAGGAGCATATAATATGTACGGTTTGTATATATTGTGATAATGATGTTGGCATTTGGTCTCTGTACACTACCACATTGAATTTGATATGAAACAGTCAAAATGTGAGTAAAATGAGGACTTTTAGCTTTAATTCAAGGGGCTTAACAAAAGTGTAGTCAACCATTAACCACTGAGGAATTACAACCATTTCTGGTGGCTCATAAATGATGGGACAAACTAAAATAATTACAAATATAAGGATTATTTTTAGTACTTGGACAAAAATTCTTTGTAGTCAGTGAGGTCTGGAACCATGGATATAACCAAATGCTGAGTTTGAGATGCTTTGTCACACTTGTACTGCAGCCTTCAGTTGTTGCTTGTTTGTGGGTCTTTCTGCCTTCAGTAAATAAACAGCATGCTCTATTGGATTGAGATCAGTGACTGACTTGGCCAGTGAAAAATATTCCATTTCTTTGTCTTGATTTCTTTGCCTTTTATCAGCATTCAAGTCATCAATAAACACCAGTGACTCAGTTTCATTGACAGCCATACATGCTCATGCCATGGCATTGCTTCTTCCATGTTTGACAAATTATTTGATATGCTTCAACCATGAGCTATGCCTTACCTTTTCCATACTTTTTCCATCATTATAGTACAAGTTGATCTTGGTTTCATCAGTCCAAAGAATATTATTTCAGAATTGGACATATTATAATGACATGCCTACCTCCTCAAGAGTGTTCTAGACTTGGCCAGAATTGTGAAAGGTGTTTTTTTTTTTTCATCAATGAGAAAATTCCATGTTCTTCCAGGCATTTTGGTGTTGTTGAGCTGCTAGTTAATTCCTTTTAGGAATGTTCCAAATTGTTGTTTTGACTACTTACAATGTTTTTGCTATCTGTCTGATGGGTTTATTTTTTCTTCAGTCTAATGGTGGCCTCTTTCACTTGCATAAATACCTCTTTGGACCTCATGTTGAATGTTGAACAGCTATTAGATGCAAATGTAAATCTCAGAACCAAATCCAGACCTTTATCTGCTTGATTTGTCATGAACTAATCAGGGAACAGGCACACCTGGAACTGTTTGTCAGCCATTTGTCCCATTATTTATGAGTCACCAAAAATAGAGGTGGGTTTATTAAAATGCTGTAATTCCTCAATGTGTAATGCCACACTTTTGTTAAATCCCTTGAGTTAAAGCTAAAAGTCTTTACTTTGCTCATATGTTGAGTGTTTCATTTCAAATTCAGGGTGGTGGTATACAGAGGCCAAATGCCCAAAAATGTATTATTCTCCCAATATATATGAATCTGACTATATTTGTCCAAGAACATTTGTTCTCATGACTATTTCCGCAACCTTCGCAGTTGTGGAAATCTACATATCCATAGTCTTCTGAAGAAATGCTTCACAATTTGCCTTCACATATGTTATGAGGCAAATAAAAAGTGTTGTCTGCATGTATTCTCAAGTTAAAAATGTGCAAACAGTATTACTTCTTAAAGTAGCTTTATAACTGCCTGAGGTGATAGAGTTCAGGAACATATTTAGCATTACTGGTATAAGTTATAGATATTACTTTACTATTTCTGTCAGGCTCTGGAAATATTTGATTTTGTTTATATGCACTTTTCCTGTACATTCAGTGAACATGTATAGTGTGAGAGGAATCACACTGTTTCCATAACATTAGTGTATCTGGTTCCCATTTACAATGCACACTATATATCAGTGTGAAGGGGCTCTAAATATATAGATACATATGTACATACAAACAAGCATAACATTTGTTATAATGCAAATACACAATAGCTTAGCTTTCTACAGGTACATAGCACTAGACTTAGACATGGATTGAGAGAATAATCCAGTTCTTCCTTTAAGAAATAAGGGATTTGTTGTCTGAAAACAACCATGTTTCTTGTATATTTTCACTGTTCCATATAGAATCTTAAACATGCAATGTAGCTGTGTAGTGTAGTTTTGAAAAGAAAAGAGTTCTTTGGAGCACAAAGAATACTACATTCTTGCCACTGTCAACAAGTCCTTAAAATAGCTGCATCTCTTCCTTAAATTCCATGGCTGTATTCCACAATTACAGCACAACCCTGGGAAAATTTTCATTCGGTTTAGCAAGTTGCTAACAAGTGCTACTTGTGTGTCCATATGTGTTCAAAACTTTTCAGGTTCAGAATGCTGCACATAACTTGCACATAAACACAAATAGTTTTGACAGTATTTTTTTTTTAAAAAAAAAAAGTCTGTGATACCTCCTACTTGTTCTGCTTCCTCCAACCACTTAGTTAATATGGATTTTAGTTTGCAGGCATTCTTGAAACTCAGTTGCAAGTTTTCAAACCGGCAAATAGTAGTCTGGCTGAATTCAGAGCCATGCACTGCAGCTAGAGCTTCTCCAACATTTGTTTGTGTATAACCTGACAAAAGAAAATAGGCCTACAGAATCAAACTAAAAATCCAAGGTCAAAGAAGAGACAAAGAGAGTGGTAGGTATAGTTATTTCCAATCACTATATATGATACTTTAGAATAAAACAAAATATATTTAAGTTGTCTAGTTGCATGAATCACATACCTAGCTTAATTCTTCTCAACTTGAACTCATTGGCAAATTTCTCCAACTCTCTAATTTCTGGAGAATCCATATCTATTGGTTCATCAAGTGACTTGGCCTTCTTCCGAAATTCCTGCTTAAAATCAGTGGTAGGATCAGCTCCAAGTAGAGACGGGTGCATGGAAGTAAAGCTGTGGCCTAGAGCACATGAACTGGCACTTAGAGCATGCTCAGGGAATTTATACAGGCAAGGAGTGAGACCACCTATCCAGAAACAAAACACATACAGCTTTCTGATTAGAAACCAATTCTAAGGAGATAAAATATTGTATTTTGTTAAGTGTATATCAATCATTGGTAAAGAATGGGTAATGATCGCTTACATTGTTTGTTATTTGAATTCAGTCTCAATTGTTGTTAGAGAACATGTGCCTGAATATTAATAGCAGTATTACAATGATATCTGTAATGACACTGAAGATGGAAACAGAAAAGAAGGAAAGACATTCAAAAGATTTCTGAACTCAGAAGGCTCTTGTAATCTCAGATTGGGAAGCCAGCAGTGGACAAATAGTAACTGATTGAAAAAAAAATCCATCTTTATTGTATAGTGAAATACTGTGTAGTAGACATGTTGACATCAAAGAAATCGTAGCAGATATTCCATAATTACAAGAACTCTTAGTAATAGAACATTAGGGTAGATCAGCACTCTGGGTAGAAGTTGAAAGACTGCAAGTGTTAATGCATTATTCACAAAAATATGGTAAGGAACAGAAGAAGAAAAATGTTCCAACCAAGTTATTATAGCAGATCTGGAGAACAACATGGCAGTCAACAGAAAGGAGATTTTAAAAGGGTACAAATTATACCATACCCTTAATTTCACAAGCTGGCAAAACAATACTTAGGATCATTCAATTCAGATTATAACCTTATATAAAAGGGAAATATCAGGTGTTCAAGCAGGTTTCAGAATAGACATCATTGCTGATTCACATTGGATAATTGAAAGATCTAGAAAATACAAAAATAAATCAATATGGGCTTTGTTGATCGTAGAAAAATGCTTGATTGGATAAACAATTCAAGTTATGGAATGTGTTTAGAAGAATGGGAATCACAATGCAGGTCATTGTCATCATGAAAATTTATATATAGAAAAAAGAAAAACCACATTCCAAACAGAATATAGTGAACTGCACTAGCTCTAAGTTGGAAAAGTTAAACAAGGCTGTGTATTCTTTTCATATTTATTCAATTTATAAGCTGAATATATATTAAAGGAAGCTGGACTAAAAAAAGTGTTGGGTTTCAAGATTTAGTGACCATGGCCTGGACAGAAGATTTCTTGATTTTTTCCAGCAGTTGTAGCTGGCATCTTCAGACACAGGTGGTTCTGCTATGCACATCACAAGCAACTGACCAGGGACTGATTAGAGTCTTGTCTTTATAGCCAAATATCTAACTTCTCATTGGTTTTTAACAAAGTCAAATCTGTAGATATGAACAGTCCGCTAAACACTGAAGTCCAACACTGCCCAACAGATAATGGCCATGAAGCCAATATCATATAAGGATCAGCATGGTTTTAACATTGGAGAAAGAAACATCAGTAACCTGCACTGTATCTGTAATAATATTCTGATAAAGCAAATTATATGGAAGCTTTACTAATTAAAATCTAAGAACATAGTGAAACAATGGGACTAAGATTAAATACAAAAAATATAAATATAAAACATATATGGTGAAAACATCTAATTGCAACTGTACATTTTAGCAATATAAAACAAATATTTTAAATATAAAATATAACAAATACTAAATTAATGGCAATAAACATGTCAATTAGCCTTAGAATTGACAATGAAGATTATGAAATACTAGATAGCTTCTGCCTATCTATAGTATTAAAAAGGATCGACCACTAACTGTAAAAATACAAGCAGACAGTCAAAAATGTGATATAGACCAGCACTTGATAAGATAGCAGTAAAGCCTTGGAAGAATATTTAGATGCATTTATTTATTTAGAACCAGGGCTTTTTTTGTCATAGAACACCCAGATCAGAGTTCCGGCACCTTTTTTGGATGGAATCTAGGGTAGGCAAGGTGGGTTGTATGATATGTGTGAGTTCTGGCATCTTTTTTTTTTTTTTTTTTTTAGAAAAAAGCACTGTTTAGAACATTTATATAGCTGCCAACTCACTTTAAATAACTTTAGGTGCCTTACTAAAATCCCAATATTAAAAGAGTAAAAACAATAAACTCACACCCCATTGGCAACAACAAGCAATGAAACAAGCCACTTAATGGACTCTATTCCACTCTGGGTTCCCCCTATCCCATTCTTCATGATGAGTTTACCCATAGAAATATCACTATCATTCAGGCAATGATTTTCTCTGTGATATTGTAGGGAAGTGAAGGTGAAACACCTTTGAAGAAACTGGATAAAAAGAATATTGACTTTTTTGAATATTGGAGAACCCCATTGAAAATACTTTAGATACCTCAAACAACAATATCTGAATCATACAACAAATTGATCAAAAGTTCTTATCTGAGGCTCAAATGAACAGATTAAAAATATAACATTTTCAGCATTTTATGAAAAGCACCTACCTTTATTAAGAAGTTTATAATGCTGGAAAAAGTAGATGGAAATAGAAAGAGTGCAAGAAGCAGAAAGGTTGATCGACATGATTAAGTATAAAGAAGGAAACTGAGAACCATGATAGCTTGGATAAGCAACTACAGAGTTGGACATAACTGAGTCTGTTATTCAACAGTTTCAAATGTGGAGACTTGACTCTTTAAAACAACATGGGATTATTTACAAAGGAGCTAGGTCTCTAAAACAGAAAGGGGGATGCTTTTGTTTGACCCAAAGGATACTACAAGGCACAAAAAGTGACTTGTTCATTCATTTGTTGTTATGGAAACCTGTCTGGCATAAAAAGAAAGCTAGAATAAGATTTAAGACTATGACTCAAGGCTTTATATAACAGGTTTAAAAGGTTTACTAGATATGGATTGATTTATGATTTAAGACAGTTAAATAAGATGTTAGATTGAATAAAAATTAATTAAAGATTTGAATTTAATAAGAAGATGTTCGTTTATGTATTAACATGTTTGTTGTGCATATAGTAATTTTGGGAGGGGTTAAAGGAATTTGACACAGATACTGAGGGATTGATAGATTATAAAGTATAATAGAGTAGAAAGGTATTTTTTCTGTTTTGTTTTTTGTTTTCTTTTTCTTTTCTTTTTTGAACTAATATTTTTGCTATTAGAAATGACAGTTATTTTGTTATGGAAGAAGAAGAATAAAAAAGAAGAAATGATATTAATAAATGATTATTGATTATGTTAAGGAAAAAGGGAATGGAAAGACACCTGAAGTGTTAATTATGTATTTATATTAGCAATATGGAATATAGCAATTGAAATAGTAAAGCTTAATACAGGATTAGGACTTATTTAGATGAAATGTTATTGATGATTGTCTGGATTGACTTAGTTGTATTGAAATACATTAATTTGAATATAATATATTATTAGAGGGAATAGAGAGGGGGTTTCTAATGATTTAATCTGAACTATATGACTATGACTTTGTTTTTGGACAATTGATTACACTGCCACCACGTTGATTCGTAAGCACTTGTTTGTAAAATGAAAAAAACTAATAAAACTTGTTTTTTTTTAAAAAAAGAAGGAAACTACAAACCACACAGAAAACTGTAGACCAATAAAAAATCAATATCTGGGAAAATCCCAGAAAGAATCAGCAGGCAGTGAGTTTGCAAGAACTTAGAAAGAATCATGGAGATTACTAGAAGCCAGTGTGGTTTTATATATATATATATATATATATATATATATATATATATATATATATATATATATATCATGACAGACAAAACTTACCACTTTTTTGGGCAGGTAATTATGACTAAGGGAATGGTGTAGATACAAAATATCTAAACCTCAGTAAGGCATTTGAAAAGGTTGGCTATACCCATCCATATATGATGTTTTAGACAAAACAATGGAGGATAGATAATTCACCAGCTATATAGATTCATAGTAGATTGAACAACCATGCCCAGTGTATCATCCTTAATGGATCTATAACTACATGGAAGGAGGTATGCATGAAGGTATCTGAAATTACCATCCTTGGCACAGTGCTCTTCAGTATTTTTGTAAATGACTTAAGGGTTTAAAAATACATTCAGAAAAACTGATGATACAAAAGTGAGAGATATTATAACACAGAATGCAGGCTCAAGGTTCACAAAATATTCATAGGTTGTATGTATCTGACAAAATTCTGTTCAATGGTGATAAACATAAGGTCTCATTTTTTAGGAAAACCAGGTGCAAAGTTCAAGATAGATAGAATCTGACTTTGTAGAGCAAAGTCAGATTAAACATGAGCCAGCAGTGGCTATAGCTGCAAAAGAGATAATGAGACCCTATCAAGAGCCCAAGAAGAGAATACTTAGTTTAAATAAGAGATAGTTAAGAGGAACTTCACTAGAGTGGAGAGACTTGCCTTGTAAAGTGCCAACTCCATTCACAACATTGGGATGAGACATACTGCAGGTTTGCAAAATACGGCTTTGAGAGAGGCTTGCTGCCAGCACATCTGGAGCTGTAGGCTTGATACCTATTAGAGATGGGCGGGAGGGAGAGGAGACTGCAAGAATAGCAATTGAGAGATGAAGAATTCCATCTTAGTTTTAGCCCATAATAGCATTAATAAATGAGAATCATTCCTGCAAATCTTTCTTTTTTAAAAAAAAATGCATTATATTGTATCCACCTAGTGCAGCCTTTGTCAGTCTGGAGCCCCCTAGATATTTAATCTAATATTTAAGAAATATTTCAGTTTAAAATACTGTTGTTTATTCTGTAGGTAAATTTAAGAAAAAAAAAGAAGCCAATGAAAGACAGGGAATTAGATGCTTGTATGGACAAATGCTTGCCATTGTGACTTATCTGCAGCAATATCTTGTGCTCCTTCAAGAACCATCTTGTAGTTTCTTTCATCCCTCCAGATGGACTGGGCTTCTCCTTTTCTCCCCACTTCTCTTGACATGGGCAGCAGGAAAAATGAGGAGAGAGAAAAGCACCAGAACATGGATAACTGACAGCGAGAGACCAACTGGTCTTCTGCTCACAGTAATTGTCGACAAAGAAGGGATTTCTCATGCCACCTATCTATTCCCCTGTGGCTCTTAATATGGACATCTTTGAGCCAGCATATTTTGTGGCACCTAGTCCACTTGACAACCTTACTTTGTGCTGTGGTGAGGAAGAACCTGTACTTTTTAAAACTTTATTAATATATCCTATATAATTGATACCAATAAGTCATGATCTTTTTTTATAATCTGCATTGAGAAACATTTCAACTAACTTGATATGTCCACAGGTAAGATTTACATTCACGTTGCTTGACGTAGATGTTGAAAATACTCTCATCCAAATCTTTCTGTAATTTCCAGTTCCTACCTTTCTATAGATTTTACATTCTGATCACCTGTGATCAGAAAGGTGTTTTTTCAAAGGCAACTGGACTTTCTTTGTTTTCCTTGAAGATGTTTTGCTTCTTATTTAAGAAGTTTTTTCAGTTCTGACTAAATGGTGGGAAATAGAAGGATTTACATTGCATGCAGTCTTTTGGTTGTTAGCACTCTCATGACCAGATGACTGCAGTAATATAAATCCTTTTATTCTCCATCATTTAGTCAGAACTGAAGAAGCTTCTTGGATGAGAAATGAAATATCCTCAAGGAAAAACAAAGAAAGTCCAGTTTCCTTTTTTAAAAGCACCTTTGGAACAATCGTGACTTGGATAACTGAGAATCTCTATAGACATTCCAATCACCTATTAATAATACTATGTGTTTTTCTTGTTTATTTAGAACCTCTTGCAGTTTTCCGCAGAATACTTACCTGGAAGCTTTATTTTTTTCTTTTTAATGGATGCCAAGATTATTTTTAGGAAGTTTAATTATTTCACATGGAGAATTGCCATGATAGATAAAGTAGGTGAATTATGAGAAGTACTATGTTCTACAAATAACAGCTCATTTTACAAAATACTGTTTTACTTCAGTATTTTTCAACTCTGGCAAATTTAAGATGTGTGGAATTCAGTACTGGCCAGGGAAATCCATACATCTTAAAGTTACCAAGGTTGAAAAACACTGGTCTACACAATGTTCTACATGCAACATAAAAAGTCTAGGGAAATTGAATGTCTACTTCTCAACCTTCCTATAGCTCCCTTTTCTTTTGTTGCTCCTATTTTTTCATAAAAATAAATAAATGAATTATAATAAAGCAAAGTATTTTTTTACTGAAGTGTGTAATACTTCTTGGAACAAACCTAAGGAAGTAACTGTGCTGGGAGGTTAAACCAAGCCAAGACTAGTTAGTATCTGGATGAGAATTCTCTAAAGAAAAGCAGATCTATAAGCTAGTATGCGAATTTGAAGAAAAAAGAAAACCACTCCTGAAGTGAAGCCATTTCTGGCACATTGTCAAGAAAGGTACATAAATAAATTATGAAGTTATTTGGATTTCAGCTTCAACTTAAAGGGGAATTTATTTCTATAATAATGACACAAGAGCAAAGAAAGGCCTTTATCAAGATACTTCTCGTGGATCAGACCTCTTCATGTAAGCATTTCCAAATCTTTAAGGGAGAGACAATCCAGATGATTGGCCTTACATTTGTTATACTTAGTACCCATGCTTTCTATATATGCTAACACTTTGCGATAACACTTAGCACATGACAATATTAGCTAGAGGACCAAAAAATAATTCCAAGTAGCTATAATTATGAGATTTTTTTTAGGCTTTTAGACTGGCACTCACTTTGGTAGTATGTTTTGGCAATGCCACAGGTAAGCTATAGATTAAATGAACAATTGCTTGGAATTATCTTTAGTCAAAATGCTATAGATTTTGTTTCAGAAAGTATTTCTTACCTGCCATCATCCCATATGCAGTTTGTTGGTTTCCATAATGACAAGAAGGAACAGAATAATGTAGACCTGATGGCATATATCCCATAGTAGCCATGGAAAAGCATATATGGGCATATTTAAGGGTTGGGTTCAAAGACAAACAGATGATACCAGTAAGAACATATATACTGATTCATAAAATATTATCTCTATCAAAATATATGAAAATTATCTTTTGGATTTGTCATGAGCTGAACTGAATATCTTAAGAATATGATATTGTTTGATTGCTACATGCAGCAATTCAGTCATCCAATTTAATGACTACTGACCCATTTACTCTGCCTAGTAAGTTATAGGCTGAAATCTGGAATAAACTGGGCAGATGGTGAAACATTTAACGCATGTTGAATTATATATGTTTCCATTCATGTCATATATTTAAAAATCAATTTAGTAAACTCATTTCCGCATGACTTTTATAAAAAAGGTTATTAAATAATAACAATACAATTATTATTACAGAGTTGTTGAATAAGCCAGAATATAATTTTACTAAAGTATTATAATTATTACTATTGTTATTCAGTATACTCTAAATATTTTTTTAAAAAAACAATCCCTTAGTTTTCAAATATAACATAAAATAAGTATTTTGCTGCATTACAAAGATCAATATCAGCTGTATTTAGTTTTCTGTGATTAACTTTTGAAGTCTGCTGAAAATTCTGTACTCATACTCTGAAATACAGTACAATATGAAATAAAATCTTTGAAAGTATTCATTCATATAGAAAGAAGAAAGAGATCAACTGAATAATTGCCCATCGCCTCTTTGACTTGAAGATCTTTTTTTCAAATAGGATAAGTATACTTGCATGGAACCGTCTGAGCAATTTGTATCCTACAAAATGATGTTTCAGTGTTAATATATTGTTTTCTGTATAAATGGCATCTTGAATAGATAAATATTAGGAATGCTCATGATAAGTGTGTATAAGAATGAAAATAAATAAATAAACCCTTCTTCCCGTGAATGTGTCCTGACAAGCACCATTCAAAATGTCTAAAATATCTTGCTGTCAATTGATGTACAAAGCAAGAAAATTATATATAGTTTGCTTTTCAGTGGCAAGATTAAAATACTACTACAGAAAATAAGGCTATGGTCTATGTATGCTTACTTGGTATTTAGTCTCTTTGAATACATTGGGATTTATTAAGTAAACAAGCACTCATTGAAATAAAGCTATTGATTAATAAAATAAAATACAAGTTCAATTAAAAGCTTCCGGCAAGAAAATATTTATATTATTTTTCCAAGATAATATATATATATATATATATATATATATATATATATATATATATATATATATATATATGTTTGTTTCTGAGGTTTTCGCGGGTATTTGTATGTAGGTCTTTGGTTGTTCGGGTTTTCTCCCGCAAAATTGGAAGTGTCTTGGCGACGTTTCGACGAAGTCCCATTCGTCATCTTCAGGCTGGTGTTTTCAGCTCCTGCGCAGGAAGCTGTAAACACCAGCCTGAAGATGACGAATGGGACTTCGTCGAAACGTCGCCAAGACACTTCCAATTTTACGCGGGAGAAAACCCGAACAACCAAAGACCTATATATATATACATATATATATATATATATATATATATATATATATATATATATATATGCATACATACATACATACACCAATTTATGAATCAATATGAAAATATTTCACTAATGAACATTACATTGAGGTAGGATCTCCAGTCTAGTGCCATATGAAATATTGGATAACAATTCCTGTTTTTCGAAGTTGTCAAATGCAATTTCAAAATTTGTAGTTCCATTCAGTTAGAAGTAAAAGACTTCATTCAGGTACAACCATTAGCTGCCAGATTAAATTGATGTGAAATATTATATAAAATATATTAAAATAACATATCATCAAGTCTTTCTCATTCCTTTTGAAGAATCAGTAGAAGATAGAAACGGAAAGCATTTCCCTGAATACATGTATAGAATACAAAGCTGCAAAAATTTGTACATACTTTCATTGTTTAATATTTTAAAGGTTGTTTTAGACGTAATTTCAAGCACTGATATTATTACTTAACTTCCTCAAGTTTTATTTTTTTTTATCATGCTTGTAATTAGGTGGACAATGATAGAGGGTCAACAATGGAAAAAATATATATTTTGTAAAAAAAATCATAAGACAGGATGGGAAGAGATAAAAAGTGATTTTTTTCATTGCGTTGCAATTAAATTACAGTCTTTCATAAAAAGATTCAATGTTTTTATATGAACAGCAAGATAGTTTGCTTTCTTTACAAATGAATTTTTACAGTATTAATAGTGTTCCATATTTCGTGGATGGAATTAATTTCAACTATTTGAGAAAGAAGTATAATGAAAATCAGATGGAAGTCATTTCATATAACCTGAAATAAACTAATGTTGCATAATTAGCATCAAAATGCATTACTTCGGGATTGGAGCGGCGACAGATACCTACCACTCATTTAAGTCATTACCTGTCATTTCATAAAATGTAAAGTTTCCATTCTTTCCATTCTGTGCCAGAAGTTTTTAGAAGGAAAATAAAGCAAAAAGTTTGTATTCTTTTCAATTTAATGAGTTCAAATCATTAAATATTGAGTAGAATGACATCAATTTGATGGTCAAATATTGATTACAAGATCAGCTTCAAAGAGCAATGTGAAATCAATGTAATTAAAAGATATTATAAGCTAATTAAATACAGATTTTGCCTGAAGAATTTCTTAAAGTATTTGTATAGCATAGCAAAGATGCTAAACTGAAGCCAATAAAATGGCACACTGATAAAAGTAGCAATTTTATAATAAGAGAAACAATACCTGTAGAAACCACATTAGTGGCATGATTGGAGACGGGTAAGCACTCTGCAGCACTATGATGCATTATCAGAGGCAGAGTGGGAGACGAGTCAGAAGTCAAGGGGATAAAGGTGTCAGCTGAAGAAAAGACTTGACAACTCATTCCCATCAAAAATAAGCAAAAAAAATTCCCCAAAACAAGAAAATAGAATGAGAGTGAAAGAGCGGACTGAAGTTGTGCTGTGCCTTGCTTTTCTCTCAAGACTATCCCATACAGTTCACAGCAACTCAAATTCAGTTGGCCAGCATCATTACTTGCATATATACATAATGTGAGGTATGGTGCACTGTGAGTTGTGTGCAGGTATTTATACCACCAGGAAATCCTTTTATCCATGTTAATGGGTTTTGCTAGGCTGTGTTGCTTAATCACTCTGGAAACTCCTTCTTTCCCACCCAAAGGCAACAGATACCCAATTAATGAGGGGAAACAAGAGAGCGAGTTTTCCAAATTTTTTCAAGCTGGCTTTTGTGAAGGAAACAATATTGGATAAAGCTATATGAGGGAGTCATTTTACTCCAGTTTCTGCTCATGAGGAGGAGGAAAGCTCCTCAGTGTTATCCATTCTTATGAACACCTGTCTGGACTTTCCCTGTCCCCAGTAAATATTGAGAAATTAAAATGTTATATGTGATATTAAATCGCAGGCTGCAGATATCTGATTTACTTGTTTATATCTGGAGAATATAAATATAAATATTAATTATTAATTGAAAGAGTCTTAAATATATTTTAAAGTCTGGGAAAAACCGTGTTGGATATATTGTTTTATGTATCAGTGTTTATTATTTTAGGACACAAGAAAACATTGGTTTTCTCAGTCCTGTCGGCTTATACAGTTCATTGTTTTAGAAATCCCAAAATCCCAACCTCAGGAAATCTTAAAAGAAGCATCATGAGAACAGGCCAGGGCAAAGTGATGAGAAAGGACGATAATTTAGATCCGAATTCATGCAATCTTAAAATAATAGTCCAATCCATGTCCAAGATTAGACTATCTAGTTTGCTGGAACATATTTTCTTTATTTAACTTGCCCAAGGGATATCCAGATGATGGACTGTTTAGATTACAACACCAGAGATGGAGTGATTTGGATATGGATTCGCTTCAGCGATGAAAGCTCAGTGAATTGTTTTGGCCCAATCTCTATATCTTCATAATTACTTTGTTGATGAAGGTGTTTGCAATTATGCTCATCTAAGGCATGAGCTTTTAACTCTGCTGCCTTTACTCCTTATTTCACAGCCTTATATTATCATCATTGTCATCATATCATCATCATCACCACCACCATCATCACACTTATGGGAGGAACAGAACTGGAGGAATAGTATTGTGAATGATACTAGGCAGAAACGTGGATTATGAATCTAACAACCAAGCAAACAGTCAGAAGGATTTTGTTTATTTTTAAATAAACATTGCTCCTTTCTCCCTCTCTCTCTGGTGTCAAGAGTTGAAGCTTTTCAAATCACTTTACATTTGGAATACTCCAACTGAAGAGCAAAAATGCTGCCTTGAGATCTTACTGGAACAATATCAGCTGTTCTTTTGATCAATTTTTTATATGCATTTAATTTCATTTAATAACATTATGCCTTGGGCAGGCAATATCACAGACCAAAAGTTCCGCCAGTAAAAGAATTATGCTTGCAAACAAAGGGAGGAAATATATTTATATAACTCATGATGGTGCAAATAATATTTCTGATGATTCCCACATCTTGTCAACTTCATCTCCAGTCATGGAAGAAGAGACATAAATAATTCTTCACACTCTAGGATACTGTTCAAGAGACCATACGATCTTTATCTTCCCTCCCACACCTTTAAGAAAAAAAAAGAGATTTGTACACAACAGCCTTGTAAAATGTTCGAAGACTTCTCCTGAGAAAGATATACTTTAATGCTGGTTTAAAGTATATGGGCTGGTAAAAAAAAAAAACTAGAGCGTTATTTATGGATGGATGGATGGATGGTCTCCTTTTATTAGGAGCTCTGGATCTTTGCATTCTTTCTCCAAGGAAGATTAGGCTGAGAGCATAGACATATGAAATAATTATATCAGGTTAGAAATGGACAAAACCAGGTCTGAAGATGGGGCATTAGATATAAATGCAAGCATTTTATTATTTGGGGAAGGGATGTGAAGGGATAAAAGCAGAATTCTGGAAGCCTATTATGGAGCCAAGGATCATAGCCATCTAGAAAATGAATAGTGTATTAAGATGACAATATTTCATTGGTAGCCTTGATTAAGCAATAGTAAAACAATATTCATGAACCACCAGAATAAAATTAAGACAAGACAAGATAACCTTTACTGTCATTTTTCTCTATACACAATGGCACATATTAAAATGAAATCCCGGTGTCCACTCTTGAAAAAAAAAATGCCACAGACCAAATAATGTCACCATCCTAAGGATAACAATAATATATTATAATAATATAAATAATATAATAATATAAATAATTTACATTTATTAAATTAATCCAAAATAAAAGGCTGATAGTTTATTATACATATTCAGACTACTGTAATTAACGATTTTCATTATTGGGACAAAAAAAATAAAAGATTTTCTCAACAAGCCATATCAAAGACAGGTACCTTCAGTGTAGCCTAGAAAATTGATAAAGAGATAGGATTAAGAGATTTTACGGGAAAACACTTTCCCATGTATGAAAACCAGTGTAGATAGCTTTTAAAAACATATAGAAGGCATATTAACTCCTGTTGCCAAGCCTTGGTTCATTTGGTTTGGACTATAACCAGGATAATTATATTATAGTTGACAATAGTTTTAAAGCCTGATTGAGATAAGCTGTGGCCTACTTGCTGAAGGATCAAAAAGTAAGATAATTTGTTTTCCCAAGACACCTGTTTCACACAAGATTGATGAAAAACAATCTTTGAATGTATGTCGCAGCTTCAATATTAGTCAAGAAAAGGGTGTTCCCACGCTTCTCACACCACAAATGAATTGGGAACAAGTATATGCTTTTGGCAATGGCATATACCTTTTTTTTTTCAAATATGCTGCTGTTTAGATAACCAAGCAGCCCAATTAATTTTTTAATTCAGATTGTTAGGAACTATTGACCTTACTTATTCAAATACCTGCTTTGCAGAATCCCTAGAAAGCTAATATTGTATCTTTATAATGTATCTGCCACCCTGTTGTTTACTGCAGGGGAAAAAATCAAATTACACATAATTAATATGAAAGTTATTGTAGTTTGAATACAAGTACAAAATCTAGAGTGGATACAAGCTAATATACTTAATTTTATGGAAATTCATGGTAAAACTTGTCAGTATCATTTGTGGCATTTTTTATCTTGCAATTAATATGTTTTCCTTTTCCATTACTTATTCAGAAAAAATCATATAGCATAAAGAATAAAGAAAGAATAATAATTTGAAAATGTTAAAAAACAATATTCAAAAAATGCAAAATAAATGTCTATTGAACATTTTTTTTCTTGAAAAAATGTACATATAAATACAAACACATAGTAGTATATGTATCAGGCTTTATTGAATGATGTTTATCTGCTAACCAAATTGCTTTGGCCAGATGAACAGATTTCTTCTGTCCTCTGAAGTCTATGAAAAATTGGACTACATGCAAGTGCAAAAGAATAAGAAGAAATAGAACTAACAGCAAATGTCTTTTGCAAAACATGGACCCCTTATTATTTAAATATCTTTATTAGTGCCATTTGTTAATTTATTAGTTTATATATTCATGTGTATCATTTATGGAAAAAGCATCTTTCCTATTAGCTAGTCTACCTCATGTCCTCCATCTTCCTATGGATTCATCAAGGAAGTTGTATACCTTTTGTTTCAACTTATCATCAAATAAATCTGGCAGAATCTTTTTACCACAAGGAAAAAGAGATAGAACAAAATCATAACAAAACTCCATGCTTGTCTACAATGAATTCAGTATATACAATAACATATCATAAAATAAACTTTGAGGTAAGGTAACTAATTTATAATTATAAATATAACATAAATAATTATAAATTGGCAATAATCAAAAAAGAAAGAAAATGCTTCAATATTTTTCAGGGTAAGCTATTGTTTTCTCTTTTCAAAAATCAGCATAAAGTAAAGGTCATGCTGGTTTTAGAAACACACCAGCGACAGAAAGTTAAAGACCTAATGGAGATTGTCATACTAGCGCCCTGTAAATCCTATTGTTCATTTATATTCATACTTGAACTTTTGTTACAGCGTGTATTAATGAATATTTGGTTATAATGGAGAAAACATCATCTGCTCAGCATGGCTGGTCGTTTAGAGTTTCATTAGAAAACAAAACAACTTTCAACATAAGTGATTTCATCAGCATATTCAAGCTTCAGACCAGCTTAGTTTGAAGGTCACTGAAATGACTTTAAAAAATAAAGATTTTTTTAATTATTTTGTACGAAAAACAACTCCTTTAAAAAAAGAAAAAGTCCTGTTAATAAGCTTTTGAAATGTTGCCAATAAAATGAAGCATTGCAATCACACTTTCTAGGGGTGAGCAGGGTTTTTCTGAATTTGTATTGCATGCTTTCTTTCTTCTTTTTCCTATAGGCAGTTGAAACTAATAATCTTCAGATTTTTTTCAGGGCCAAGACTCGTATTTAAAGCTACTATGAAAGTATGTATATACCTTCAATATCTTTCTACTTTTTAATTAATATAATCAGAAATGAATGATATACTCCATTCTCAAAAACTAAACAGAATATGTTAAACAGATTTGCTTTGATACTAAGAATAAGAAAAAAAAACCTATAGATTTCCATAGTGCATGCCTACCATATTCCCCTCACAATTATTGTGGTCATCCATGAAGAGTTAACATTTTTTTCCTGATGTTTATGGCTTTGAAATAAATTGTAGCTGTAGAATGCCTCGGAAACAAAGAAAATGATTTGCATGTAAAATATCTATATTCAGAATTTGGAATTCCCATATACAATTTAAAAATAATGTCTTCCTGGAAAGCTTTAGTCAGCCAGCATCAAAAATACCGAGTTAAAGGCACCAATGTCTGATTTGATATCAAGTAACATTCTGAAATCCAAGGCA